CCTAGGATCCTGTAGAGGTTTCCCAAGTTGTTGACCGTAGAGAGTGTCGATGTATGCTCAGGTCCCCATGCCTTCTCGTATCCTCGCAGCGCCCGTTGGTACATCTCCTCTGCCTCGTCCATCCTGCCTAGCTTCGCGTAGATGTTTCCCAAATTGTGGACCGTGTCGAGTGTCGATGTATGCTCAGATCCCCATGCCTTCTCGTATCCTCGCAGTGCCCGCTGGTACATCTTCTCAGCCTCCAGTCTGTCTTCTTCGGACAGTAAATACCCCAGGCTGTGAAACATCCATGGGTGTAATGAAGGCCCCAGTGGCCTCGATTCCTCAGATACTAAGACTTTCCCTATCCATTTGCTAACAATGAGACCGTGGGCCAATATCCGCTTCCGCTTCCTCCAGAAATCTTTCTCCTGCTCCGAAGCCACATTTAATGCAACTAGCCCTGCGGCAATGTTAGAAATGCTATAACACTCCTCGCCTTTAGTCAGCTGACTGCACCATTTATGCAACACTAAGTGCATAGAGTGGCTACCAGTGCCTTCTTTAGTGTCAGCGAGCGAGTACCGCGACAGCAGGCCTACTGCATCAGCGAATTCCAGCTCGTCTCCAGCAATCTTAAGCAACCATGTTGGAATATCCATCCCTTCTTTTAAAACTCTAGCCGACGCAACCAGCTCATACCAAAGTTCTCCGCAATCTAAAAATCCCCAGAGCTTAAGCAGCCACGCAGCCTCTTCGCTTTGTTTTCGGACCTGATCGTAGGACATAGTCCATGTCGTCAGCACATTTCGATCGCCGTACTCCTCCAGTGGAAAGCGCTGCTGCTTTTTCATCAGGTGCTCCCATGTTCCATCGTAGTGCTTAACATAGGTCGATGCAGACATATTCGTCTCTCGCATATACGCGCCGGCTTGGGTAAGGGCCAGAGGAAGGCCGTTAAGACGTTGAAGAACTGTGTCAGCCCCTATATAGCATCTATCAGTAAACATATCCTTAGTTCCTAAGTGTAATCGCAGACTCACCCTCAATCCCCCTTCCAGCATTATTCTCTAGAATGGCACGTGCTTGTTCTGCTGCGACTGTCCCAACCTTAACTCCTGCCCCGTGTTGCTGAAGGGTTGCCAGCCTGCTTGTTATGAGAATCGACCCGTGATCTGCATAAGGAAAATAGCTTTTCACATTATATGCTTGCGAGTCGTCTTTGTCGTAGGGGTCGCGGTCAACATTGTCGAAGATTAAGAGCCAGTCATGGTTTGATGGGACAGATAGCCAATGGAGACACTCGCCTACAACCACGTCGACATCGAGGGCGGAATGCACCAACATCTCTACAACATCTGCCTTGAGCTGGTCCCGCGGCAGCCTTTGCATCAATTCTACAAACGACTGCTTTAGACTGGCTTCTGAGGATCCGTCCAGCCAGAAAATGCTGCTGAATCTGCGTTGATTTTTCCGCGCGAACTCGACCGCTAGCTGCGTCTTGCCTATGCCACCAAGGCCATGGACCACGACGATGTTTCGACGACTCACCGTGAGTGAAGTTGCAAGAAGGAGTTGCTCAAGCTCCTTCATTTCTGCGTCTCGATGGACGAACTGGCTCACTACAGGCACGCCTCGGAGATTGAGCTCAATCTTGTACTTCCCGTCATCTGTTGCATTTAGTCAACTGTCTGCAATTATTAATGGTTACTAGGATGTATAATTACGTCGAGACCGGGCTAGCACGAGTTCATGTGATACCACAATCATATCCCTGACAACATCTCCCACCGTCTCAAAGTCTTCCTCCGTAGGCTTTCCAAACTTATTCATTTCAAAGTGCGACCGTGAGAGGGAGAACTTTCTCGTCGCATCAGACAGGTCAAGGCAGCCAGAGCTTTCGCTCACTACAAATCGCTGTGATAATAGTCAGCCTTAGCATAATTCGCAGCTTATTCTATCGCTTACTGTTCGATCCTGCTTTCCTACAATCTTCCCCACATTGCTTGACTTAAGCTCGTAGAAGCATGCAACCTGGGCCTTATTTGCCAGCCTCCGCGTCTTCCCAAACTGGTCGACCACCTCTTGAAGAAACTCGTTGCCCGGCTCAAGTATTTTCAGGACCTCCGGCTGTACCTGGTCCTCCTGGTATTCCATCCGGGCTGCCTCCAGCATTTCCATCTGAGTCATCCCTTCCGCGCCTCTAAAAGGTGTACCAAAGAAGACCAAGCCGGTAGTCGAGACGAACACACCAGGCCACTCGTTCTCGGCGTGCTGCGCTTCCAGGAGGGCCTGTACACTATTAGCTGTGGGCGCATGCTAGCTTTACTTTAATTGATTACCTTCAACACAACCAGCCCACCAAAGCAGTGCGCTATAAAGATTAATGGGCGGAATATACAATCCTAGCTAGTTCAGCAGTGATGACCTGTTAGACATCCAGGACCTGCACCTTTCTTTTCCGTTGCAGTGCCAGCAGCAACCGCAGTGCCACCGTCGATGCCTTCTGTCGCATCGCCCCTTCCCCAAACCACTGTGACTGGTATCCGTATCGCATGATGCGCGCATGTGGTGCTACAGTTGGCAACATGGCTTTCTCGTCAAGCCAATTGACCCACTTTGGGTTCTCAGCAGTGCCGACATTCTTGCACCAGCTGTCATCTGGGTGCGCCCCAATGCCATGGATCGCAACGATGCTAGGCTAGCTTAGTATGAAGATAGACACCCAAACGCGACACGGACGTACTCAATGCCCTGGGTTGTGTCTGCTGGTGCCTCACGAAGCACCTTTAGGCCGATATCATCGTCCGTCACAGGCCGAACCTAGCTTCGTTTAGCCTTGGCGTCTTCCCTTCGTCCCTCCCCTCCACGTACCATGGTCGCTCTTCAACAGTCGGCTAGGCATAAAATAAGAGGTCAGAAATAGAAGCAAGAGTTAGTATAAGAAGATGTGCAGGTAGACGGCAGGCGGAACATATCAGACCGAGATAGCCGTCCGGGCCGCCCGCATAGAGGCTGAGCAGAACGGCCATCGCCGCCTAACGTGACAACTTTTCCACTAAGCGCCTGCTGCTTTGAAGATATATATACGCCCTAACTCTATCCCATAGAACGCGTAAATGTTTTCTAATCTATTTTTCCATTTCATTATGTTGCCATTTTCCAAGAGGAATCAGCTTGTCATTAGATGCGTTACTGCTTCTAGCTGGACTAAAATCTATAATTCCTTCAAATCTCTCGCACTTGAAAAGTAATTACGAAGAATATCATGGCTTTGGAGACGGGTATCCGAAATGGTTCAAAGGCACATTTCATGTTCGCAAGCTTCGACCTAGACTAATAGAACTCAACCCAGGTCACATGGCCTCAGAATAAAACTTCTACGCCACTTGCACATGGTTTCTTTCCTCTCCTACTCTCAGGAAACTTTAGCTTTAAGTGGACTAGAAATCACTCCCCAACATACGATGTCTACTAACAAAAGTACAAGCCCATAATTCAGTGGCTTTCTGCTTCTACTCTTAGGGAAAAGTTTTCTTCCGCTTCGATTGGACTAAGACATCGCTTTCTAGCGTACTATGTCGAGTACTCAAGCATAACGACATCAAGCTCATGACTTCAGTTCTAAAATAGAGGTAGCAAAAGGTCTAATAATGTTTGCCGCCTTATGCCAGGCTAATATAACAGAACGAAGAGCACAATGGCCCGCTATAAACATTTCGAAGCTAGAGATAGTAGCTTTGAATTCTGTACTTGCAAAACACGTTGCGAGAACCTCATACATGCCCGAGCTCTCGGGGTTCAAGTGGACATAAAATATACATTCCGGCTTACAATGTCTGGTACTAAAATCCCTCGGAAATTGAGCTGGTAACTTGGGTTCTTTAGAAGGCGAAACAAGAGCTAGAGATGTCTCTGGCTTTGTGCTTGGTAAAAAATTTACGAGTACACTCTGATGGCCTGGACAAAAAAATTTACTTGACCACACCTCTGACCCAAAAATAACTGCACTCGGGTTCTAAGGCTAGCTTAATACTCACCACACCTCAGACCTCGAATTCAATTGTTGGTCAGCCTCAAGCATGTCCATGAATCTCTCGTCTGTTTTCCATGGATCTATACCTTGTGATCCCGACGAGCAAGCTTCCACAGGCATCAAACTCATCATCCGAGTCTGCAGCATGCGCCTCCACTCATCCTCTTCCCCGATCACCCAAGCGACATGTCGTAACAGATCTTCCTGCACGTCATAGCTGCCCTAGTGTTCATGCTCTAAAAGCAGTGCGACTGGGTCTAGCAGTTCACAACTACGCAGCTCGATGTCGAATAGGCGATTAATCCTCAAACGAAGAGGATACCGCACGATGTGGCTAGGCACTACTGAGGTTTGAAAAAAGTGTCATAGAGCGCATGGGCATCGGGACACACTGGTGCCAAAAGAATCTTCCTTTTTACTGAAGGTTGCGCTATGACGTGCTGCGTTCAGAGTGTAAATTCTGAGCGGAAGCTCGTGCATATCGGCTGGCTACATCGAATGCCACACCTGCTTGCCAATTTGGTACGCAGTCATCGACATGATTATGCATCGGTTTATTATTTCCTAACTAGTAGATGACTACCCTTCTCGCTCCGGATCAGCCCATTTCCATGCAAAGTGTATATCATGTGGGAAAAGGCTGAGTACTGCAACGGCATATAAAATCATACTCAGCAAATATGGAGCGGTAAATTGCCAGACGTCAAGACGTGTCCATTTTAGTCGATCAGCTACTCCACGCTGCCCTAGTACTGGCTGTGTATGTCCCGAAGGCGGACGCTCAAGGGGTTGAGGTTCCCGCACTTAGCACATGGCTTCTTCTGGCCACCCCTTGTCTTTAGACACGTCTGGAAGCGAACCCTCTCTATCTTCACAAGCTTTGAGATCCTTAACTTCGGTCTGACACCATTTGTTCAAGCTGGTGGAGAGTTAGCCTACCGCATGGCAAGATAGCACTCAAGTACTGACGGTTTGTAAATATGCTCTACGCATTTGAAGAGAAACCCGGGTTGAAAACTTTGGTTTGCTAGGGCCGTCTCGTCTTTCAAACAGAAGCCGATTGCATCACAAAGGGGGTTTGATGTCGTCTTGGTGAAAATCTTTGCAATGATGTCACTTCGATACAGGATCTCCCACTTGCCATCGGTCCATTGATGATACTCTTTAGAATCGTTATCGCTCGCCTGACGGATCGGTATTTCCAAGATTAGTTGTGCCAGGACGAGACCTAAGTTCCTCAGGCGTGAGCCATGGCGGCAACCGCTATGTTTTGGGCATTCGCCAACGCTGAAAATTTGCATAATGCAATCCTTTGCGGCAACACCTTTCTCGATTTGAAGCCCGTAGCAACAAAGCTTCTCCATCCATGAAGTATCCCACAGAAGTAAGGCCCAATGCGATATACCTTGGACCAATATCGCCCGATCTGCTCGCCAAGCTCGATCAAGAAAAATATTTGGCGATTCCCTAAGAATATCTCCTATTGGACGCGTTCTTCTCGCTTGCGGATGTTGAATCGCGCGCTTGGTAGTTGTACCAGCGAAATTTATGGACTCATTTAATGCGGTTTGACCACACACAAGTTGCTTGATTTGTTCCGGTCCCAGGTGTGTTCTCTGGTTATCTTTATGGAAGGGAACCGCTACTGGCTCCGAGCCAACAACTTACGGTTGGGGTCTAGGACTTCGTCCTCCACCCATCGATGTCTAGCATTGGAAGTACATCGCTGAAGTCCCTATCGAACTCCGGTTCTCCATTTCCCAGTCTGCGGACGACGACAAGCATTTTAATCTGTATGTTGCAGTGCGTTCGTCGTGAAGCCTTTGTGCCGGAGAAGTAAGTCCCCTTACAAAATCTTCGAGTTCTTCTAGTTCGAGTATTGGATCCAGACTAGGCCCAGAGCCAGAATGCGCAGCCGTGCGTTGTTCGAACTCTCTTTCTGAGAGCTTTTCGATGCAATCGATAGCCTTTTCTAGCGTGGTGATCCAACCTTCGATAATATCTTTCTTGTAGAGAGCGTACCCAACCGAGTGCACAAAGTTCAGTAGGCTTCTCTCACCACTTCGCCTTCGTCGACGGCAGCCAAGTAGCCAATCTCTTCTCTTTCGCCATGTTCTGATCTCTGCTTCGTCCTCCGTATTATCCTGTATCTTCGATATTCTTTTTTAGCCTCTCAATGTCTAATCTCGTCGTACTGATGGTTGTCTGGTACTCCCCGAAATTAGACCTCCGTCGCCAAAGAATTTCCCATTTGGCGGACCTTGCTTCGCAGATGGCCAGACGAGTCTTGTATCCCCGAAATTGGTCCCTACATTCTTCAAAGTCGTGCAGGGTCTTTGCAGCGTTGGGAATGGTGCTTAGAACGAAGCTAATGCCTCCAAAACAGAAGCCGATGGGCCCGAGAACTTCACCCATGGACGAATTCTCTGCAGGTGTGTGTACAACTAGCCGGTAAAATTGTGCGAAGAGAAAGGTTTGCATGAAAGCATTGAATAGCACAGCTGTGAGGCATGTACATCTCTAAGCGTGGTAGTGTAGAGTTTGGCGTATGAACCTGAGAGGAAAATGTCGGGGGTATTGACACCAACATCTAGAGGCTTAGAGGCACCCTTGTGAAGCATCTAAGCCCGATCGCCCAAGACTAGCTTTACATCTTTCTCACTAGAACTCAACCTTGTCGCTTAATGTATATATGCACCAACTGCACCAATCTTAGTAGGCGCTAAGCCAAATCAGCAAGCCACTTGTCGTTGTCACTGGCTGGTAGCGCAACGGCCTATAGAGGGTGCGCGAGATGCTCATGCTCAGTTGCTTGACCTCGATGCCGAGACCAAATCAACTTCGACCGCCAACGCTCCGCGAAGTCCCAGTTCAGAGCACCTAGGTCTGCAAATTAGAAAGCAAATGATCGGATCCGGAGTAAATGGAGATTCTAGATTTTTACCCATCGATCAACTCGAAAGAATAATTACCGTAGAAAACGTGCACAAGGAGCTTGAACTTTCTGGGGTCCAAAAAGACGTCTGGTCCACTGCGCAGATCGTCTGCGAGCCAGTGGAAGAACCATACGCAAATTCAACAAGGAGAAGAATCTTCGCCATTCTGTGCCTTTTAAGAAAGGCTAGCGCAATCTCTGAATTTGTTGACGAAGAGATATTTGATCAACACCTTCCATTCAATTTCAGGCCTAATTCTAGTGACGTATACCTTGGGACGAAAGCACAGTCTGTCACCCCAATACAGCTGTTCAAATCTGGATCTTGGAGCACAAACGATCTAGACAGTTTCGCTCGATATCAGTGGCAGCTCTCACCTTGGACAACGACGCAAACGGGAGAGCGAAACACTACCTTCTTAGTGATCAAGCGATCCTTCCTTTTTTAAGGGTTGGTAGTTCTGTCGAATTGGGCAATGACCAAGAGAGCCGTGAGCGTACAGGAGGCTTTGGTGTTGTGACCAAGGTCACAATACACCCTTCACATCACACTTTCCAAGATCCCGAAATGGTATGTTTGGCTTTTTAGGATCCTGAACGAGCACTAACAGTATAATCAAGCGATCAAATCATTTTGCAATCAAGGCGATCCAGAAGGATGCCTGCGTAGCATTCGATCGGGAGGCTTCCGCGTTGAGACGTTTCAATGGGACAAATCACCAGCATCTCATCAAGCTTCTCGCCACATATTCGCACAATGGTCACTACTATCTAATTTTCCCATGGGCTGATGGTAATTTAAAAGACTTTTGGATGAAGCATTCGCGCTGGTCTTCTCAGTCAGTCCAAGATCAAAAGTTTCTGAGATGGATGTCTCAGCAACTTCTAGGCCTTGCACATGCTCTCCATAGCATCCACCATTACCAGGTGAATAAGCCTGACGTAAAGACACTGTCCTTACAAGAACGTCAGACTATGCACGGAAGACATGGGGATCTCAAACCGGAAAACATCTTGTGGTTTCAAAAGACTCCTGACACTCCAAGTCCGGGTGGGGCTGGAGTTCTCAAGATTGCAGACCTTGGTCTCGCAGATTTTCGGAGTCCCTTCTCTGACTCCAGTGTTCGGACCAGTATGATCGGTGGCTTTAGTCATACCTACAAAGCACCAGAGTGCGATATTTCCAAGCGAGTCTCGTCTTCGTACGATATATGGTCGTTGGGATGCATCTATCTCGAGTTTGTTGTATGGTTGGTGCGTGGTGCAGACGGCCTCCAAGAATTCCGCAATAATCGATTAGCCGACTCTATCAAACCGCTCTCTTCATCGGACGCATTCTTCGAAATCGAAATCGGTTCTGATTTTCGATTGCTTGCGCAACTAAAGCCTTCTGTGACTCAGGTAGGTCAACCCGTGGAGTTGATTTGTTTTCTATCTAACACTTTGTAACCTAGACGATCAAATCACTGAAAAATAACCCTGCGTGTAGTGATTACGTCTTCCATCTGCTGGAAATAATCGAGACACAGATGCTCAAGGTCAAGCCTCAAAGTCGTGCCGACATACGTGGCATCGTTAAAGCTCTAGAAAGACTCGCTGAATACCATCATGAGGATGCGGAATACTTCAGCCCTAGAATCGAACGAGCCAGAAGGATAGACTCCAATCTTTCGTGGATAACGGAACTCGGGTCGACGGAAAGCTTCTCCTCCGATGAGAGTCAACCGGAAGACGAAATTAGTTTGTATGGCGTGTACAACGGAATTCTGGAAGATCTTGAACATGCTCTTCAAAAGGTGACAGGTTGGGCTTGGAACAACCGAGACGTTTCTGACCACCTTCGTGATGTACGGATGCATTTAGAGCATTGGAAAAGCAGCATTCATTGGATCTCGATAAAAGCAGGCATCTTGGAAGAAGAAACAGACGCTGAAACTGCCATGTCTAGATTGCTTCAGTCGTTTGAGGATTACGATCCTTTTCTATCGGGAACTACACGATCATACTTAGAAGACATAGCCGAGACGCTGGACGACGTACGCACTCTATACAGAAATGATGACGAAGAGACCAAGTAGGAGGCTACTCAAAGATCCCCTGTGTCACGTCGTATGAACTGACTTTTACTAGTACACCTTTGTTGGCAGCTCTGAGAAAGGATCTAGACACCGCAGTACAATGTCTAGGACTTCAGCTCATCCCTCTTCGTGCGTTCGCGGAATCAACAAAGCCTCCGGAGCAGTTAAGTGAAGTTACACCGGAGTTTGAGATAAAGGGACCTATATGGCCAGATTCGTGGTCCGATGCTTCTGAAGATGAACCAGATCGAGAGAAAATTGCAGACCTACTTCGGAGATCACAAGTTCACACAGAGAATTTGGGTGAAGCGTTCCTGCCTCCGAAGGTCCTAGAAGAGATATTGACCGAAGAACGGATTCGCATGGAAATAGAAGCATACCGTGATCAGCAGCCGGATAGTTGGTGTGGTCAAGGATTGAACGATTGCGCGAATCTAATTAGATGTCGGTATCTGAAGATTTTTGCGATCCTCATCCTCCTCGACAAAGGGGAAGACATTGGGAAATTCATTGAAGAAGGTGTGAGTGACGAAGACTTGCCTTTGGTTGAGACCCAAGTTCGTCATATGTCCGATCTCGTACGCAGTAAATCTCCGAACAATCCACTTGGCTGCTTCGACACATGGATGATACACGAACGCGAACAGTTTTCGCGCTACCAGTACAGGGTAAATCTGCCGTTTCTCAGTTTCGACACCGAGACAAACTCAGTGCGACATGTGGACTTTACGCCTCAGACTATACTACCCTTCTCGGAGTGTGGTGGTTCCATAGAAGGGATATACTCGAGAATTAGCAAGATCAAGATACACAGGGACTGTCATGGCTTCAGCAACATACTGAAGAAGGTAAGTTTCTTGGATTCGGTTGGAAACAGCAATCTGGCAGCTGACCGATCCATGCAGATTCAGACGAACGACGTTTTCGCAGTGAAACGGTTGCGCATCAATCACGGAGACAACGTGGAAAATTGTTTCCACAGGGAGGTAAACATGTTGAAGAACTTGAGCCGCACTCACAATCACCTTCTCAGTCTCCTCATGACATGGAGTTACCGGAACGACCACTACCTTCTTTTCCCGTTGGCAGACTGCAACTTGGCTGATTATTGGAACAAAGAATCTCAAACACCGTCCCGGAGCGAGACGAAAGGCATAGACCTGGGAACAGCGAGGTGGGTTTCAGAACAGATTCTTGGTTTGATGGACGCTCTGGACAGTCTCCACCATCCACGAGGCTTGTCCAGCACAAAATTTGGAAGACACGGTGATCTCAAACCCGAGAACATCCTTTGGTACAATGATCCAGAAGGCGGGCGAGGAACGCTAGTCATATCCGACTTTGGGTGTTCGACTCTTAATACTCAATATAGTCGATCGAACATTACAGCAGCTAGAGTGCCTTTAACCCCAGCTTACCGGCCACCAGAGTGCGATCTCGAGGGCGGCAAAATTTCTAGAGCGTCAGATATATGGTCTTTCGGATGCGTTCTTCTAGAGTTCGTTTGCTGGGCACTTGGTGGTGGCGAACTGGTCCAAACCTTCGCAAAGAGAAGAATAAGTCCTTATATTACGGGCTTATCGAGCGATTCTTTTTTTGACGTGAATGCAAAAGCTGACGACGGAGGGTATGTCATAACCGTGAAAGACGTTGTCTCAATGGTAGGAAGATCCCCATCTCCAAAAAACACCTTAAACTAATCAAACTCTAGACCATAGCAGAACTTCACAAGAACGCGCACTGTACGCAGTACTTTCACAATCTTCTCGACATCATCGAGCGCGAAATGATTGTCATTCTTTCGTCCGAGAGCCTTAGGTCGGACTCGACAGTATTGCTGCGCAAGTTTAACTTCATGCATTCCAATACCACAGACGATCCAGATTACTGCCAGACACCGTGTCCTGAAAGCCGACCTACGGAATCCTAGACGCCTGTCGAAGCTGCGCTGAATCCAATACTTTCCCGCCGCGCAGTTTCCGTGTTGATAGAACCAGCCGACATGACTGCAACGTCCGCTCAGTCTCCGGCTACGAATGAAGTTTCGCACCAATCGGGACCATGGAAATTGATAATGGAAGGGGAATTTGGAGCCAGCAACCTGCCTTTGGTAGAAACCTCTCTGGGGTTAGATGAGGCTGAAGGTGAAGGTGAAACTCAACGTGTTGCCGGGTTCAGGAGATGGGAAAAACTAATGTCACTGGCCATGTTGATAAATCGTTTCAAACAGGATTAAAATTGAAGTGTAAACCACCAACACCTCTAAACCCCTCTGTTCACCTTTCCCGCACTCTGCAACATCTGCACCATCAATTGCACCTACGCCATCTACACCTACGCCATGCTCACAACAAGCCCTCTTCTAGCAGTCTAAACCCTCTATCCACTATCGAAACCCATCTCCCTCAGGCTTTTTGACCTCTATCTAATTTCGCCCCCAACCACCCCCCTACTTTTCCACTCCCTAACCTTTCTTTCGTTCTTCTTCCTCACAAACCATGCAGTATAAGCAATACAGCGCAGACAGTGGGGCGGTAACAACGGCGCAAGCACTCATAACAATGAGCGTAGCTTTCGCTCTAAAGGAGTATTGACCAATGTAAGCTTCATGCTAATTACCGTCCACAATTTTTTGTGTCTAAGGGAAGGGCCCAGGGGCCAACAACTCAACAATCCTCGTCGCGTTCACACTTACAATCGTCCCTACTAACCCCACGCCACTATTTAGGTACTTTGAAATAAAAACCGTACTCGAATCCAAATATAACTCCTCCTATGTCTCCACCAAAGCCACACACACCCGCTCGCGCTAATCGCACAGCAGAACTAGGCTACTTACAACAGCTGCGTGTTGCGTCCTGTCGACAATACTTTTACTTCAAGCTCAATTTTGGACGGTTGTCTAGGTCGAGGTTGAGGGAGTTTGGGAGACTGGCGAAGGTTGCGGGAAAGACGATGTGGTTGATTAGTAGGAACCCAGTGAAGAAGAGGCGAGAAGATGCTTCGTGGCGGGGGTGCGGTCGAGGTCAGGAGAATAGTAGTGTTCCGTGTCTAGATCGTCGTGTGGGTGTGGTGGAGGCTTGGGTGTGAGAGATTGGTGGCGTGGAATTGGGATCTGGTACGTACTGGGAGAATGGGGTTATGGAGGCGTGTTGAGGTTGTGCGGGCTGGTGGCGACTTCGAGGGGATTTTGGTTGTTGCCGTGGGTGGATGATTTCGGCTCATGGCTGCAGTTGCCAGTGTTGCGGGTTTCTCTGATTCTTGGAGTGGCTGTATGCTTGCTTTGGGTTTCCGGGTTGAAGGAAGGAAATGCGCGATGACTGAAGAGTACAGAAGTATTGTAATGGAGAATAATTGGTTTGAGGCGTTTAACGAACAGTAGATATTACTGAAGGGCCATTGAGGAGTATAAAGAACGCCATAGAAACAATCGCCTTTGACTCAAACCTTCCCACGCCCTTAAATGACCTATTCCCCCTCCCACACACTAAGTCCTCCACCCCTAGCGCCCAAGTTTCAAAACCTATTCCTAAGGGACCGTCACATTTGTGTGCTGGTGCAAGTCTGATAGTGGTAACAACCCTCTCCCCAACGGTAAAGCTGTTTGACAGCTCAAAGGCAGATAGCGGAGTGATAACTCACGAGTTTAGAAAAGCTGTTGTGATAGCGAATGTGTGATTGGTGGGTGCTGGTTGACTAGGGTTCTTGGTGTCGATCACTACTTGGTAGGAGGTTATTGTACCGTCTAAAACGAAGTTCCGGTGCTGGAGTTGTAGTGGTTGTTAGATGAGAGGCGTGGAAATATTGAAAAAAAAAAAGAAAGCTTGCAGTATTGGAATGTCGAAGACTGAGGGAAGGAGGACAAAGTGTGGTGTAGCATCTATCTAGTGCGATGAAATTAGAGGGAGCTATGAAGCAACTTAGTCGAGCACGTTGAGCACGTGACACCAACACCACCTCCAGGAATCCCCTCCATCTCTCTGGCGCAACGAATGTCTCTCATCTCCACGCGCCATAACACCTGTCCTCTCAAACCCCAAACGTCCCTCTGGCACTTCCACTGTGTCCTATTAATTTACCTGGCTGGACTTGTGGCGCGCCGCACCCCTGTCCTTAATCTGGAACGCGGAAAAAAGTCGCGGGGACGTCTCAAGCTAGAGACAACAAAGTAAAAGGACAGTTCGCATGAAATTTGAAAGCTTTCTAGAACGACGGGGTATATAGGAGCTATGGCCAGATATTTTGTGAGGCCGATAAAACGACGAACTCGTCCTCGAGTCCTCTGACCGCTTCTTTTTTTTTGAGGGGGTCACAGTGTGTGCAATTGATTTTGCTGAATTGATTTGGACTGCTATACATACGCATTCTAAGAGTGCTTCTGAAGATTACCAAACACGATGAGACTCCTCACTCTTCTCTCACCGGCATTGCTGGCGGCGACCGCGTTCGCTGTAGAACCCGAATCTTCGTCGTCGTCCGCTTCTTCTTCTTCTTCTTCATCATCTTCTTCTTCTTCCTCAAGCGCATCCAGCATCTCATCATCTGCTTCTTCCTCTTCTTCCTCCCCATCCTCCTCAGCAACCCCCGAACCCACCCCCGTCGGTCAACTCTGGACCGCCCAATGGAAAGACTCCGACCTCTCCCCTTATACCAAACTCTGCGCCTCGACCTCCAAAATCACGGCCAAGATCTTCAAACTCGGCGAAATGTACCCCGACCTCAAGACCTGGGCACCCGAGCTCAAAGTCTTCTACAACAAGCAGCTCTACCCTGGGTCCTGGAACGGCGAAGACAAGCACGGCAATGATCGCGAATTGATGAAGATGGAGTACGAAGAGCTGCCTTTTGCGGTCCGCGAGTGGATTGCTAGGAATCCGAAACAGAGACATTTTAGTGTGCAGGATGAGGTGGTGTTTTTCGCCCCGGGGGCTATGTATCCGATTTTGCCGCTTTGGGTAGAGGAGCCGGAGGGGAAGGGGTTGGACTGTGAAGGTATGTTTGGTTGAGAGATGTGGGGATGATAAGGCTAATGATGTGACAGGTGTTTTCGATGATCTCGAGAATTATTCCAACGAGCCGAAAGATGGGGTCGTGATTGCGCGTCTAGAGCACAAGAAGACGGGGGAGAAGGAGGTGGAGGTTACCATTGAGGCGATGCAGGTTAAGAAGGCCGCGGAGCAAAAGCGGGACGAGCTGTAGACCGTTTACCCTGCCATGATATACAAATGCCTTCTCGTTGTCCCGAAATGCGACACCATTCCATACAATCAAGCACCCTTCATCTTATTCTTCCTTTCCAGCGCTAGTTTCTCTCTCTCCCGTCTGTCCCTTTTGTCGTGTTGTATCGCAGCCGCCATGTTGAAGAAGAAAATGACCGAGAACATAACTCCGACAAGCGCTAACACACTCGCAACACTGACCATAGAGAACACCACAAACCCATATGATGCTCGACGAAACGCCAGGTTGTCTTGTAAAGGCGGGACACCAGCGCCGACTTGCATTGCAGATAGCACGAGGGAGAAGAAGACGAAGACGATTAGGATCCAACTGAAGTTTCGTTGGAAGAAGACCACATAGCGATTATAGCCGTAGAGGTAGCCTCGTACGAAGTGGGTGAAACAGAACCGTGTGCGGTAGATGGAATTTATTCTACCGAGTCGCAAGTCGCCAAAGTGGTAGCGCTTGTTGACTTGATCGAGAGAGTTCATGTCGACGTGTTGGCAAAAGTCCTTGACGAATTCCTTCCACCAGTGCCACGTGATGAATGACGGTAAGAGGAAGTGATCGTGTGCAAGCTTTAGGTCTAGCGGGGAACAGAGGAGCCAGACGTACGATAGCAGAAATCCACACGCAGACTCATGCAGCGTCTGGCGCTCTAACTGGTTGCCGCAAATGTTCTCATCCCAAAACTCGTAGCTCAGCATCCACTCCGGAAGAGGCTTTAGCAGGAGTCGATTCGAGAATTTTAGGAGATGCAGATCCATCTGCTGTGTGTATAGCACGTCAAATCCCATCATCTTGTATCGATGCAGCGGCCTGGCACGCATGGGCCGACCTGCCATCCACAGCAGGTCATGTATCTTGTTCAAGCGTTTCAGATCTAACTCCCGCTGCAGGAATTTACAGATATCATCTTCGACCAGAAAGCATTCTGTGTCGCGGCCAGCTATTGTAGGCAAGGAATCTAAGGCTGTCAGGGGTATGGAGGTGGCTGTATCCAGAACTGGCTGAGGACTGATGTCGCCATTGGGAAGTGATGCATGAGAGGAGAATAGAGGGGTGGGAGGCTTCGGCGGGATGGGTCGCGAGGTAAAGGGGGGTCTCAATCTCTCGGCCTGGGAATGTGAGTACATGGTCTTGCCTTTCCAAGTCCGGAACAGGAAGGAACGATGAGGAACGAGCTAAACATACTGTCTTTTCTGCCATAGTACTTCCCTTAGCACTCCGAAGTACAGTCAGGGAGAGCCATGAAGGAGAAGCTAGCTGCTATTTGTGTGCACGAGGGCTAGCACAACACGAGCCTCCTAAGCATCCTTGCGGAGCTGCGAGGCGCATATCCGGGAGCTACTGACGTCGGAAGTGGGGGCCAAATTGCTTGCTTCTTAGCCAAGGTATTTCGCTTTGGAGCCGCAAACGTCACTCCAGCCCCCTGTTTCTCGTTGCTTGTCGTACCTGGGCAAGGCTGGATCTGGGCATTTCACGTCCATTTACGCATTATATTGCACAACCTCAGCATGTATAAAGCCACACGGCGAGACAAAACGTCGTGCAAAACGGCACATGGCCTCTCCTGCTGCCAAAGGTGGCTCAAAACTGCGGATAAGTGTGGTTAAGGTTTACATCTGTCGACCGAGGGAACGAAGCCCACAAGACTTGTCATTTAAACGCCTTCCTAGCAGTTGGAGACTATTTTCAACTTTCCCATTCCCCATTGAAGCACAGAATACACGTCGTAATTTTCATTTGCAGTAGTTGGCAGGGAAGCTACCCTTTTGACCCCGCACCTCACCCTCCCACCAGTCGTGCGAGCTGTTTGTCTTTTTCAGCACACGGATGCGCTCGCCCTCGCGGAACGCTAGGTCACCTTCATTCAAGCCGTCGAAGTCGTACATGGCGGTAACATACTCCCCGTGAAAAGAGCCGATCTTCTTTGGAGGGGGTGGTGGCGGCTTCTTCTTTCCCGCCGCTGGGTTCGGCGTTAGGCTCCCTGACGAGGCTGCGGAAGCAACGCGGGATCGGCCAAAATAGTCGTCGTGTCCGTTCGTGCCAACAGATGAGGCGTTCGATGTGCGGCGAGACCACGGACTGTCAAACGCGGGAGCAGGACTCAGACCTGGAGAATGTGCACCTCCAATTCTAGGCTTTGATGCAGTGAGTGAATTGTAAGAGGGTTTGGTTTTGAGGCCTGGATCGGCTGGTGGGGGCAGAGAATGGCCCGGACGTGGCGAGGTTGCAGATGGCACAATGGGTTGGCTGTTGGTTCGCCGGCCCGGAATAACCTTGTTTCTGATACCCAAACCAGTGAGGGTGGCCCCCTTTTCTGGTAGCCTCATGGGCTGGTGGATTGCCTTTCCTGTCCTGAGCAGCTCGAACCCATTTTCCATCTCCTTGCGCAGTGAAGTGAAGGACGAGTCCCACATAGGGATGACTTCCTCGGGTTCGGGGGGAGGGTCTGGGTAGCCATTTTCGCGCGAGTACTGATGTAAGACTGTATACAGATTGCCAATTAAATTGTTCTGGAGGATGATCTGGTTTGCGAGGAGGTGGGGTAGGAGGGAGAAGGTGGCGGCGTTCAGCCGGGGGAGCTGGGTTCGGAGGACCTCGTCGGCAAATTCGTAGTCGTGGGTGGCGCGTTGCAGGTCCGCTTCGTGCTTGTTCAGGGCAATGTTGTCGCGATCGGAGCGGTTCTGCTTCCTTTGGAGCGTCTCGGCGCGGCCCTTGTATCGTTCATAGTCAAGCTGTGGCACAGCAGTCAGCAGAGGGCAGGAGAATCGAGACATCGCCAGCTACCTTCTTTTCCTCTCGCCGCTTGATGGTCTTCTTCATGGGCTTGAGCGAGTCCCTAGCGAGCTTGACGGGTATAACGAGCTTGCTCTCGACATCGGCGAGCTCCTCGCCCATGTCGGTCTTGAGCTCGGCAAAGGCCACATGGAGCTGGGAACAGCGCTCGAGGGTCTCCGGCGGCGTGTCCGTGGCGACATGAGAGCTGTAGTCCCCTCCCTTGGCACCCAGTGGCTTGTAGAGAGTGTGGAAGTGCTCGACCGAGTTGAGCTGGTGGGAAAGGATATTGGTCCAGGCGTCACGCCATTCTTTTGCGGCGGACTCGATCTGCGAGAGCGGTTAGGAGCGGGGGGAGGGGG